TGAGAACCACGTCCTAACCAACTAGACCATCGAGGAGATGTCCAAAGTTTCTAAAGTATTAATATAAAGATATGTTTGATCAAAATGGGCTTTATCACAGCGATCCATTTGCGCCAATGCTCATATTTTGTAACAACAAATAGAAGCATATGGTCCTATATGCACCGACTATAGTCAGTCACCCGATATGTTACCCATGCATAGGCGAATGGCACTGAACTTCGACATTACGTTCTTCATCATCAACCTTATTGACAGGCTGAGGCCAGACTAGTAAGGTCCTTCCTACTAGTTAGAAGATGTTGTTGTGAAACTGCATGCTCCAAAACTACAAAGGGTTTGGAACAAAGGCTTCGCTTCACTGTGTAGCAATTCAAGTATTTATTGAAAATTGATTGTGAACCATACTAAGTACTGCTGCTTGTACATACAGTATCGGCTTGTGATAGCCATCTGCGCCTATGAACTAGTCCTTTTTCTTTTGCTTCTTGGTGTCGCCTCCAAATGGATTGAATGTTGAAAAAGGATCATTGTTCGGACGAGAGGGTGGTCGCCGTTGCCCTCCTGAGAGGACAGATAGAGAAAGTGAACAAGTTCGTTAATACTTGACGAGTCATGGTGTTCTACACGACCATCACTCAAGTACGATGCCAAGTACGATGTCACTTACAGCGCTACGTGTATATGAAAGGGCACGTACGGGCGCACTATAAAAGGACTATAGGTTGATCTTACATCCGCCGAGGACTGTTGCGACTATTGTCCGTGAACAAGCCTAAAAAAACCCCCCATGTAGTGAGGCATCTCGGGGGTGCTATGTGAGCGCACAGATTGAAACACACACAAACTGTGGTCTCGAGTCAATACGCACCGCACTACGTATAGTATCATGTCGGTCGCGTCGGGACTGCGCATGTTATGATCATCACCCGCCCGCTGTTTAACTATGTACATTAGCTACAGACATCTCACAGGAGCTATAGAAGTCTTGCAGATTGTCTGCACACGCGTAAAGTAGTGGGACACAACACAAATCTCACAGCCAATAAAGTTTAGTGACACGCTTGGGATAAAGCCCAACGTTACGCATATAAATACGTTAGATGATACAGCTCTACCGCCCGGAGAGAAGACAAATTGCGTAGCATATTCTTTCAACTTGTAGTAGGACGTACTGTACTTTTCCTTTCACGTGAGACATGACACACACCACGTCACATGCACTACAACTGTGTCCTGTTGCGTCGGAACTGTTATTGCATTTATACAGGTAAGAAGAAGAGAGAGGGGAAGGGGAAAAGAGGTTTTCACATACACGTGGTGCTCAACAACACACCAAGTAACTAGTACGCACAGTGTCGTGATTGTTGGCTATACAATAGCGTCGTCGTTATTGCAAATGCACTAACTCGGACAGATGTTTGCTTTTATGCGCATCGGTTACTACACACTACTACACACATCCTTCACAAAGTCTAACAAGCTAACACATAAAACAGTCCACTGTCATGTTGCAGTGGTTGTCTCCGCACAACGTGGTCCTGTCGTCATATTGCAGTGGTTGTCTCCGCACAACGTGGTCCTGTCACTGTCTTGTAGCAAGTGTCAATCCAAACTATACCTACCACAAACACTTACACCAACAACACACATTCCCAGCCAGAAGTAGTACCTTGTTGTTGTTGTTGTTGTTGTTGTTGCATCTGCATGGACATCATGGCCTGCTGTTGCATTTGCATCTGTTGCTGCATCATACGTTGCTGTTGCTGTTGCCGTGCGGTTAGGTTAGTGGGTGGGGGCACGCCCATGCCCTGCGGACGGCCTATGTAGTGATGGGATCGAGATACAGCTACACAGTAAGTATCTAATAGATATGTTTGTACACTAAGCATCTCAAGGGACATTATAAGAGATATGGGGTGGGTATGTGATCACGTGCTAAAGTAGTATTGAACAGTGTATGGGTTTCGTAACACTCACTAGTTGATATTTCCAGCATTGGTGTCTGAGCACAATCACACGTCCTTTCTCGACTAGCAAGCCAACCACGCCGACAACACGGTAGACACAACCATTCTATACACACCCACACACAACATACGGATATACGTACATACAGACATAATATATAAGTAGTTACATACATACCTACATACATACGTACATACATAAAAATACTATATCTACACACACACACACCCAACGGTACAGACCACCGCACACTTACAAATCCTAACCACTGTACACACCCCTCTGCACACACACCCACACACACCCAACGTATGCAAGTACACATCCTTCTGCATGTATCACACACACACACACGCACACACACCCAACGTATACATGCACACACCCTTCTGCATGTATCACACACACACACACGCACATTCAATCTATGCAAATACATGACTCCCGCACACTCACACATCTTACTTGTAGTTCCCTGGCCCGCTTTCACCGACCCGTACCCCGCACTGGTGGAGCCTAAGCCTGCAAAGGCATCGCCTGTGCTACTGGGCTTCTTCGCGCCAATACCACCCAGCCCCATACCCATTACGGGAGTTGTGGTTGAAGCAGTTGATCCGGGATGCGCACCCAGACTCGGCGTGGTGGTGGTCATGTTCATATTGAGGTTGAAGCCACTTCCTTGTGATCTGGGTGGGTTGGTTGGGGTGGTAGGGGGTGGGGGTGACTGTGTGGTTGAGAGAATACAATGGACTCGAGGCATGACATAAACCCAAGTAATACGATACACAGGTCAAAAAAAAACCCACAGCATTATATATGTAGGTAAGTCAAAACTCAATCAGACACCACCACACATCCCAGCTTCAACTGGGCTGCGGCATTGGTACAGAGTCTATAGCGCTTAATTAGGCATATTTAAGCCAGGCATAGTAACCATACTCGTATTCAGGCCTATAATTTAGGCCACATTTAGTTCCCCTTACCTTGCCCGGGTCTGACCCGTGGGTTTCATGGGCACCATGGGTGCCTGTGCCTTTTTGGTCGGTGTCTTGGACTGGGCGTTTGCACCTGAATTCATACCTGGGCTGGCAGAGGTCTTCGGTTCAGATGTGGGGCCAGAGGACAGCCTGCGACAAAGGAAGTGATGTTGACAATGTAAGCCACTGATGTGTGAGCGAGCTCTCGATCTGATTGTGAAGATATACAAGTAGGCTGTCGGTATGTGGGAGGTGGTCTATCTGACCATGCGTGTGTATTTATATACCCTAGAAGTCATAGTACATATTTAGATGATGTATAATCGAATGTTTTATCTATCTATCTATCCATCTATCCATCCATCCATCCATCTATCTATATATCAATCAATCAATCTATCCATCCATCCATCCATCCATCCATCCATATATGTATGTATGTATGTATGTATGTATGTATGTATGTATGTATGTATGTATGTATGTATGTATGTAT